AGGTTTTTTTGATCATAAAAAAAAAGACACTATAAAAATTATAGACATACTTTCCATCAAAACAGTTAATACCACCAAACTATTAGAAAACAATCCAACTAATCCACACAACACCCCACAACACAAAATAGCCCTATAATAAAAAACAATCACCTACCGACTAAAAAACTTTACAGATAAAATATGATACATATCACTTATTAGCGACAATAACATTACATGTGAAACATACGTCAACAAAAAACACATAAACACTTCATATAAAAAATAAAAAACCGAAAAACAAAAAATGAATGCTGTAGTTAGTGAAACATTCAAAACCAACAAATTTTCAATAAACTTGCTGGCTAGTGTTAGAGTCACCAAGTAAGCAAAAGACAATTTTACCAATAATCGTAAAATTAGTGTTACAGGTCGTATCATTTGACTACTACACTCCCCTATAAATATAAAAGGCATAATAATAAAAGAAAAAATAGGAGATGGTAGACCTGTTGGTATAGAAAGCTTTAATATCTTAACAAAACTAAATAATTTATATATAGATACCCCCAATGGTCGAAGACCAACCAAAACTGGTATAACAACATAAATCGTTGTAAATCTCCAAATATAAGGAAACTGAGAAACAAGTAATAATATCAAGCACAATACAGTAAAATAAGAATAATAAAAACTTTGTATAATCATAAGCTGAAAGGATGCAACACAAAATCGAGAAACCATTTTTTGACGAAATTATTTCACCCGTAGTTCTTCAAACTAGTGCTCTCTTTAAGCTAGCCAAAATTCAATAGAAAACACCTAGTCTCCTCTGCAACCAAAATACAGTATGCTTTACACCATTCTATTTAAAACCACACTACACTAACGAAATAATCATAGGAAAAACAATTAAACCTAGCATAGAAACTATTATTGGATACATAAGGTTTTTAAAATTATCAACACCAATACGTCGTATAAAACCAAAACCAAACAATATCAGAGGAACCAACCTCCTCAAAAATAAATATATTAAAAACACACCAACCAAAACAAAATTTTTAATAATAAAACCCACCAACCAAACCTCAATAAAAAAACCAATAGTGGGTGGAAATTTTGCAACATAACAAAAACCACAAAAACAAACAAATATTAAAAACCAAGATGTATTAAATGATCAACCAAAATATAAAACATTTCGGGTGCCACCCATGTGTGAAAAAAATCAAATTAATAAAAAAAGAAACCCAGATGACATACCATGACTAAGCCCAAACAATGCCATGGTTAGGTGTCCAACCCCAGAATAACACACAAAACACAACAATATAACTGCCATATGCGCTAAACTCAAAAATGCTAATCAGCGCTTTCCATCTAACTCAACTAAAGAAGAAAAAAAACATAAAATGCAAAATAACACTACAAAAAATGTATAAAACACCACCCCAATTATATCAGAAAACAAAGAAGAAAATACTCGATATACACCTATTACCCCTAACTTCATAATATAACCACTTAAGCACACAGATACTAGTGTACTGGCCTCAGCGTGAACAATTGGTAACCACGTATAAAATGGAGCCAACGGTATCTTTGTTGTAAATAACAAAGTCAAAATAACAAAAATCTCCACACAATAAAAGCAACTATCTCAATCTGAAAACAAAAATCTCCCACATCTTCTTGAAATATAAATAAAAAATCACAGAAGGGGTACACCAGAAAAAATAGAATAACCTATTAAATATCAACCAGCTATAAAACGCTCAGAATATGGAGAATCTAAATATAATAAAAACAACACTCTAATTATAGACGCCTCGTAACAAAATCAAAAAAATAAACAATTTTTAGATATAAAGCTTAAGCTTCCACAAAAACAACTAAAAAAAATCAATAACTTGGTTGTTTTTTTGATTTTTAAAAGAAGTGGTATTAAACAAAAAAACAATAAAATAACTAAAAAAAATAAACATATACCAACCGCATCAACCCTAAAAACACTACAATAGTGAAAACACGCTGCGGATCCTATTTCACCAATAAACAAAATTCATATCAACAAACAACTAAAAAACCCTAGGGTAAAACCATAAATCCTAAATCACCTAAAAACCATACTCGACTAATTATTACCAACCCCAAT